AGCAATTGTGAGGCCAGGAGCAATGGCTCATGGCTGTAATCCTAGCACTCTGGGAGACCAAGGCAGGTGAGTCGCCTGAGGTCAGGAGTTCAAGATCATCCTGAGTCAGAGTGAGACCCTGTCTCTACTAAGAATAGAAAAACTAGCCAGTATTGTGGTGGGCACCTGTAGTTCCAGCTACTTGGGAGGTTGAGGCAAGAGGATCACTTGAGCCCAAGAGTTTGAGGTTGTTGTGAGCTATGATGCCACAGCACTCTACCCAGGGCAACAGAGTGAGATTATGTCTTTAAAAAAAAAAAAAACAAGTAGCAACTGTAGTCTTAGGAGGGGTTACTTTGAGAGTGAAACTAAGGCCGAGCACATTGGCTCATGCCTGTAATCCCAGCACTTTGAGAGGCCAAGACAGGTGGCTCACTTGAGCTCACAAATTTGAGACTAGCCTGAGCAAGAGTGAGACCCCATTTCTAAAAATAGCCAGGTGTTGTGGTGGTTGAGATTGGCTGTGAGCTATGATGATGCCAGGGCAACAAAGTGAGACTCTGTCTCAAAAAAAAAAAAAAAGAAAGAAAGAAAGAAAAGAAAAGAGAGAGTGAAACTCATCATTTTATTGTTTTAAAAGGTAATGGAAATAAAAGCATAAACACTTTTTCTCAGTATTGATTATCTGTCCTTTTTTAAAATTTTTTTTTATTTTTCACATTTTAGGCTCCTGATAGTCTTGGACCAGTCCCAATCAAAGCTTTAGATGTTCAAATCAAGCAGTCTTATTCTTTCTTCAATTTGCAGGTCAGATCTGTTACATAGTATTTTTTTGTATGTGTTACATAGTATTTATTGATTTTCTTATGATGTGATCAAAATATTCTTGAATTTGAATTGCATTATTTTATTAATTTTGTTCTATTATGGATTATAGTGTGTCACATACCATGTGGATTTTTCTGCTATTATTTTACAGTATATGGGGAGGTACAACAGATTCGTTTTTCCTATTGTGGTGTATGGAAAGTAGGGTCTTTACTCTGAGGATATAGCATATATTATGTATAACATGAGTGAAGCTGTCTAAACTGCATAAATTAGAAACTTCAAGAAGAAAAGCGAGATGAAGTGAACAAAAATTAGGTAGCCTTTCTCAAGAAATCTGACCACGTCTGTTTTTGAAAATAAAAATATTTTGTTATACTTTTACAGTTAAGCCACATGGTGTGGTTGAGTCATTATAAATGCTTATATGTGCTGAAACCCAGAATGGGGATGTAGTCATGCACTAAAGTCTGTCCAGTGCCAGTCCAAAGTAGCAATTGGCTACAATGTGGTGCTTTTTTTACTTTTACCATCAGAAATGCTGTGGTTGAGATGTAGATCCTACCAAATGGTAACAGGTTTTTAAGAGTATTCAATCTTCTTTCACTTCAGGTTCCTAAGCAATATATAATTAAGAGGTATCGGTCATTCTCTGCCCACAGATCTTCAAAAAGTTACATACCTCAAAAGCTTGCTCGAGCCCTAAGGCAAGGAGCTGAGGTAACACATCCCCTCCTTTAAGAATTGATCTCACTTTCCCCCTCTTATCCTAGCATGGAGACTAACACACTGCTCTTGGTCCTTATATAGGATGAAGTCACCACCATTATAGCCCTTCCGAAACAGGACTCCACACCCCAGCAATATAACAAGAAAACAATATTAAACATGAAACCGCCCGAGGCGTTAGCCACATCTCCAGATTATGATCCACTTTATATTTTTGTAAGTAACAATTGGCAAAAGTCATGTGTTCTATGTTCCTTTCAGCAATTACTCTATAAGAAAACAGAAACATTAGTTTGGAATATGTATTCTCTTTGGAATTTCAAGTGTTAAACAATATCTCACCTTTGAAATAGTTTGTCAACATTATTTTTTAGGATATCAATGTTACTGTCTTTTAACAATTCCTGCGTTTTTTAATAAAAACAACTTTATAATCTTTTCTAATTGTAATACACACACACATACGTAAGCCAAAGAAGAAATTAAAAGAGAAAAAAAATTTTTTTTTTGAGAGAGAGTCTCACTGTCACCCTTGGTAGAGTGCTGTAGTGTCATAACTCACAGCAACCTCAAACTCTTGGGCTTAAGCGATTCTCTTGCCTTAGCCTCCCAAGCAGCTGGGATTACAGGTGTGTGCCACAACGCCTGCCTACTTTTTATTGCAGTTGTCATTGTTGTTTAGCTGGCCTGGGCCAGTTTCAAACCTGCCAGCCTTGGTGTATGTGGCTGGTGCTGTAACCACTGTGCTATGGGCGCTGATCCCAGAAGAGAAATTATTAAGTATTTTTAAGTGAATGAAAATGAAAACAAAAAAAAAATGATGGGAAATTTATAGTGCTATCCTCCTATATTAGGAAAGAAGTCTTAAGTTAATGTTCTAAGTTACACCTTTAAGAAACTAGAAAAAAGGCCAGTGCCTTTTGTGGCTCATGCCTGTAATCCCAGCACTCTGGGAGGCACAAGTGGGCGGATCGCTTGAGCTCAGGAGTTCCAGACCAGCCTGAGCAAGAGGGAGACCCTGTCTCAAAAAAATAGTCAGGCATTGTGGCGAGTGCCTGTAGTCCCAGCTACTTGGGAGGCTGAGGCAAGAGCATTGCTTGAGCCCAGGAGTTTGAGGTTGCTGTGAGCTATGATGCAACGTAACTCTACCCAGAACAAAAGAGTGAGACTCTGTCTCAAAAAAAGAAAAGAATAGAAACTAGAAAAAGAAGAGCAGATGAAAGCAAACTAAGCAGAGAAAAGAAACAATAAGTTCAGATTGAAAATCATTGTTAGGGTCCCGCCCTGGGGCAGGGTCCGCTACGACCTGTGGAACTGGTGCAACCAACAGAAGAAATACAAAGTTAGGCGCCTGTGGCTCAATCAGCTAAGGCGCCAGCCACATACACCTAAGGTGGTGGGTTTGAATCCCCAGCCCGGGCCTGCCAAACAGTGATGGCTGCAACCAAAAAAATGGCCGGCGCTGTGGCGGGCGCCTGTAGTCTCAGCTACTTGGGAGGCTGAGGCAGGAGACTTGCTTGGGCCCAGGAGTTGGAGGTTGCTATGAGCTGTGAGGCCATGGCACTCTACCCAGGGGGATAGCTTGAGGCTCCGTCTCAAAAAATAAAAAAAATAAAAAATAAAGTTAGGAACGAGGATAAAGAAAGAGACAAGAGACACAGAATAGAATTTTCAAAGGTGGGAGCTCAGGGAACCTCTGCCCATTTGTGGGCTCTGGCGAGTGGCCCTGAGTCTCTGTTCCACTCAGCTTTTATTCAAATCTCTTTGCCCAGGTGGTTAAGCTGAGGGAGGGAACAGAGACACCAGCAGTTTCTCTGAGTGAGCATATCAGCTCCTATTGTTATTATTATTAACTTTAAGGATTTGAGCAGTTTTGAGGAATCTGAAACTTGAGCCTTGTGTGGGGGAAGCCTGCTGTCCAGAGTCACTCACACAGATTCCTAGGGAGGTGTTAAACTCTGCTAGTTCGTCCTGGAGTAAAATGCCACTGGCGTTAATCTCCTCTGAGGAATTGGTGGGAGAGAGGCATTTTCCTCTCATCACCACCACAGAGGATTTTCCTCTGTGATAACAGAGGTGAGCCCTCCTGTCTGTATCTCAGGGCTTGAGCTGTTCCCTCGGTCTCTGCCCAGCCAAATGCAAATCCACACAATGGGTATCTGCTTTATTTGTTTAATGGGCAGGAAATGACCTAGAAGATGTATTTTTTTTTCTAGGACTTGCCACAGTCTCTTCTATGGCCATTATTTTCCTCAGAGTGTTCACAGCCTTAGCGAGGTGTTTGTATAAGCTGTATCCCCGTAGGCCAGAGTTTTAGGAAAGGCCAGAAACTTGTTCAGATAAGAAATTTAGCAATGGCTAGCTTAAGATAAATTAGCTTTTCTTTGTTCGACTCCTTCAGCTTACTATTTAACTTTCCCTTTTTCTGGGGGTGTCCTCCCCTGCCCAGAATGGGATCTTCGTCCCCATTCTACCTGCAATCAATGAACTAGAAAAATAATGGGTTCTTTGAGAAGATCAATAAAATGGATAAATCACCTCTAACCTAACTGAGCGGAAAAGAAGGTAAAAGATAACAAATTATGAATATCAGGAGTGAGAGAGGTGACATCACTAGATATTCTATAGATATTAAAAAGATAATAAGTTAATATTATGGAAAAGTTTTGCCAGTAAATTTGACAACTTCAGTGTTCAAATTCCTTAAAAGGCACAAACTAATGGCCAGGTATGGTGGCCAAGTATGGGAGGCCCAGGCAGGTAGATTGCCTGAGCTTAGGAATTGGAGACCAACCTGAGTAAGAACAAGACCCCATCTCTAAAAAAAAAAGCCAGGTGTTGTGGTGGGTATCTTTAGTCCAGCTAATTGGGAGACTGAAGCAAGAAGATCACTTGAGCCCAAGAGCCTGATGTTGCTGTGAGCTATAACACCAGGGCACTCTACCAAGGGTGACAAAGTGAGACTGTGTCTCCAAAAAAAAAGCTTATCGCAAAGCTTCAGTAATCAAGACAGCACAATGTTGGCATAAAAACAAACATATCAATGGAAAAGAATGACAGATCCAGAAATATATTCATTCATGCATCCATGGTCAATTGATTTTTGAAAAAAGTAAAAAAAAAAAATTCACTGGAGAAAAGATAATCTTACAACAAATAGTGCCAGAACATATGGATATCTGCTTAACAAAATTAAAATAAATAAAAATAAAGGATCATCAATCAATATCTTTATAAAGTTATTACAAAAGCGATCATATAAAGTCAGATAAAATTAAGTTTGAGAACTCATCCTAGAAAAGGGCTACATACCTCATTGCTAAGTATCACTATGGTCACCTTTGAAGTACTCCACTTGGCCATCTGGTGACTGCAGTGATATTCAGCAGTGAGATATGTAACATTTTTTCTGGGATGAGTTTATGAACTTAATTGTGAGACCTAGCAATCTAATGTACAACATTTTACTTATAGCCAATAATAATGTACATTTAAAAATTTGATAGAAGGATACATCTCACCATATTATTCTTACCACAATAAAGTAAAGTAAAATGTAATAAAATAAAATAACTTTTTAAAAAAATTCTCAAGCCAGATGTGCTGGTAGTTCCAGCTGCTCAGGAGAATGAAGCAGGAAGGACACATGAGACCAGGAGTTCCAGCCTGTGGTAAGCTATGATTACTACACTCCAGCCTAGAAGACAAAGCAAAATCCTGTCTCTAAAAAAAAAAAAATTGCAGAACTCAGTTTTAAAACAGCAAATATCCATATAACAATGCATCATTAACAAAATGCAAACTAAAACCACAATGAGATACTTCTATTAGAATATTGAAAAATTAAAAATATTTCTGATGGGGATATAAAAGAGTATAACTACTGTGGAAACAGTTTGGCAGTTTCTTACAAAGTTAGTAATAAATATACACTTACCCTGTGATCCAGCCGTTCCACTGCTAGGTGTTTGTCCAAGACAAATGGAATCACAAGACTCGTGCAAAAATATTCATAACAGCTTTATATGTTCCCCAAACTGGACAAAATGTTCATCAACAGATGAGTGGATAAATAAATGTTGCTTAACCATACAGTGGAATACTCCTCAGTAATAGAAAAGAATGAATTCTTCATATAAGTAAGAACATGGATGACTCTCAAAATAATTATGCTGAGTGGAAGAAGTCAGGCAAAAAGATACATAATGTAATTTTCCATTTATGTAAAAGTCTAGAACATCTGAAGTCTTCTGTAGAGATAGAAAGGTTAATGGCTGCCTGTACATGGGTTGAGTGGATGGGGGGTGGAAGGGCAGGGAGAGAGAATGGAGGGATGACAAGGGACACGAGATAATTCTTGGAGGAGATGGAAATGTTCATTATGTTCACCATTTTTTTTTTCCTTTCCTTTGAGACGGAGCCTCAAGCTATCCCCCTGGGTAGAGTGCCGTGGCATCACGCTCACAGCAACCTCCAACTCCTGGGCTCAAGCGAGTCTCCTGCCTCAGCCTCCCAAGTGGCTGGGACCACAGGCGCCCGCCACAAGGCCTGGCCATCTCTTGGTTGCAGCCGTCATTGTTGTTTGGCGGGCCCGGGCTGGGGATTCAAACCCACCACCTTAGGTGTATGTGGCTGGCGCCCTAGCCGCTTGAGCCACAGGTGCCGAGCCATGTTCACCATTTTTATGGTGGCAATAGTTGTTCAGGTGTAACATATGTCAAAACATATCACATTACACACTTGAAATATGCACAGTTTATTTTATGCCAATAATACATCAATATAGCAGTTAAAGAATTAGGAGAATTTAAGAGAAAGAGGTGATACAAAAAGAAAAGGAAGGAAGTACTATGCTGGTTACAGCCAGGGAAAGCACTACAGCCAAGCCCTGGATTGGTCTCTGTTGCATTCAACCTAAAAAAGGGATGGTAAAGGTCTACGGAGAGAGGTGTCTAGGACAGGGAGGGCTCCAGGCACTGACAGTGCAGTTAAGAGGATGGAAGTTCTCAAAGATTGTATCAAGGCATGTCAAGCAAAAGAAAAGGCAATTATCAACTCCAAGGGGAAAACTCAACTAAAAATTAATATGTGTTCCAAAAAGGAAACCAAACTAAAATTTGGCATGATTTTTAAGGGTTGATGGAAAATTTGAAAATGTAATCCATTTGGCCTTGATATAAGAACTCTCCTCTAACACTATAGCCCATAGGTCATAAAATCGAACCTTTACACACACACACACACACACACCCCTATAGTTCAAGCTTCTAATTGCCCTGGCAGAGAAGTATATTTATACAGTTAAGACAAAGTAAATATTATGCTTTAGTTTTCAACTTTTAGAGGCAAACTATGGAACAACACATAAAGTCCTTGATTGTGGCTCCAAAGTGTGAATGTTAATGATCTCAATAACAGAGAAGTGAAATTGTGGGAGAAGGAAAGGTTTAGGAAACTATAGGGGTGATAGTGCTTTCATTTCACCTGAAGAGAGTTGAAACACTCAACTGAAGATAATCAAACAAGAAGTAGAGATATGAACACATCATTTCAAGCCACAACGATAACTAGCAGCAGAACAATGTAAATTGTTCTTAAAAGAACAACATAATCTTCCAAAGTGAAGGGAAGAAGTCTGGAAGGAACGTTGGTGTGCATGAGCAAAATCCTTCCTTAGCTTGTGTAGTACTGAGTCCATAGATAACCGTCTAAGTTTTAGAATCGAGGAATGGAAGAATAAGCATAATATTTAGAGTTAGGGTAGTGACCATCAGAGTCACAAAATCCAGAAATAATGGAAAGAAACAGCCTCTGCTTTGCATTACAAACCTCGCAGCCTGGTGAGCCACCACCATTGCATGCATTAGTAGGAGGTAACGTAAAATTAAAACCATTTGGCCATCACTCAGATCACTTACTCTGGTAGCCATGTGGGTCTGAAAAATGACAATTATTGGAGACAGTGTTATGGCCATTTCCCAAAAGACTATGTTCATTATACTTGGTCTAAGGCAGACCAAAAGAGCAGGCCACACAGTGACCTCACATGCCCTCAGTCAAACAAAGTAGGCCACACAGGTAATTTCTCACTCTCCTACCCCATCACTGACCCCATAGGGCACAGCAAGCCCCAGCTCCCATCACACTGCCTTCTATATGTACCCCAGATCTTGCCTCCAGTGCAGTGCTAGCTGGGGTGTGTGTTTGTTTCCACATTACTGCCAGAATCACTGCCTCCTCACCCTCTCCCCAATCTCCCCAGACCCTCATCTCAGCCTCCCTGCAGATCAGCCTCAGCTTACAGGTTTTCCAGCTTCCTGACTCACCAATACAACACTTCTGGAGCCCTGCCATCCTTTGCATACGGTGCTACAATGCCTCACCCATCCACCTGCTTGTCATTTAAATTGTGGGGGGACATTTGTTTCTAGGCAGTGAGATTAAGTTTCTATAAGCCAAGAAAAGTTATGGGGGATTCTTATGGAGAGGGGAAACCACTCTCCAGTGTTTGGTTTTTTTTGTTTGTTTGTTTGTTTTGAGACAGAGTCTCACTATTTTGCCTTCGGTAGAGTTCTGTGGTGTCACAGCTCACAGCAACCTCAAACTCTCGGACTTGAGCAATTCTCTTGCCTTAGCCTCCCAAGTAGCTGAGACTACAGGCTCCCACCACAACGCCTGGCTATTTTTTGTTGTTGTTGTTATTGTTGTTTAGCAGGCCTGGGCCGGGTTCAAACTCACCAGCCCCAGTATATGTGGCTGGCGCCCTGCCAAGTGAGCTACAGGCACCAAGCCTCCCCAGTCTTTTTTTAATTCTTAAAAGAATCATACAAACAAAAAGAACAAAATCTCAGCTTAGTGATATTTAAACATCTGAGATTTAATAACTGTGAGGTAGGGACTCTATGTTGTTATTTGAGACAAGAGTAGGATTTTGTTATCCTACTGGATAGATAGATAGCAAGCCTTAGAAAGAACATTAAACGGCTCTATATTTTAGTATTTTAATATAATTGCCCCATGTCTCCATTAGTTCTGCTGGACAATTAGTAAAAAATAAAATCTCCCTTAAAAACAGATCCTACATCCAAATGGAGCCTTCCTGAATTAAAACAAAGTTAAATGTTGACATTTCCTGATATAGCAAATGTCATCCTCTTTTCTTTTTTTTTTT